AGTAACTACGCAACTCAAAAGCACTAAAGACATATTATTAACCCTTTGACGACAATGCGGATTTGCACGTAGCGTGCTCGTGGGACCACGCCTCTTTTTGGCGCGCCCAACTCTCGCACAAAATGGGGCAAAATTGTCCCTAAAAGCAGTTTTTCTATCAAAATTTTGACTATGACAATAAACAAAATATGACTGCAGTCTTAAGCTTTATGATCATGTATTGTTGGAATTAGAAGTGGAAGTTTGGAAAGAAATCTCGGATTTCAAAGGGATGGTGTTTGAAAACTTAGAAATTCAAATGTACAGTAGAATTTTTGATATAGTTCAAACTCCTCCTTGTGTCTTAAGACTGTGAAAAGACGTAGAGGTCCTGATCTGTAATTCACCTTAAGCTTAATAATGTAAAACACTAGTTAATACATCGCCGAGCGAAGTGCCATATCCTAAAATTTCATATAAATTAGCTAGTAACAAACATTTCTGCAAAATATGCTAAACATAGGCGTAACGGAGCTTGCTTATAATTACTGATATGTTGAAAATGTTTTAAATGGGTAAAGAAGAAAATTTTAGGGTGGCACCCACCATTGGGTGCCATTGTCCCACGCGACGGTCATAGTGGCACCCACCGGTGGGTGCCATTGTCGCCAAAGGGTTAAGGAAGAACAGCATCTCGTCAGACCAATCCCTGTTATAACTTTCTAAGCACGACCAGGTCCAGTGGAAGTGCCCACAAACGCAGAGTCTTGACAAAGTGGATAGCACAGAATAGTTCTAAGCTCATGACAGTGATCACCAATTATTGTGTGTTGGAAAGCTACGGTAGGCTGCCACAGGGTCCAAAGCCATAACGAAAACGCTTGTGGGATCACGGCATAGGTCTTCGCGCAGCCATATCAGGAATCCAAAATGAACCGTAGTTAAGAGTGTCCGTCAGTTACGCTGGAACTGGCTTACCAGATGAGTCAGGTGGTGTCGAAGATCTAGTAGGTGTGTGTGGAAATTTGGTCGCATACGTACAATCCGAATTCCATCCTTTTCGGCTCCGACGAAGGCGAACTTGCTGAAACGTTAGCCAACAAAGTAATGTTAAGAACCCCTTCTGCAGTTCTACAGGGCAGTAAGTACTCATTACCGAGATGCCGAGGTTTATCGAGAGTCGAACGTGGCGGCTACGGTAGCTTTTCTAGGCGGTTGTATTGGTGCTGTTCAGAAGGACGGTAGCTTTGCTCGAATAACAAGTTCTCCAAAATTTTTTAGTCAGTTCATGTGTTTTTCAGCTTTCGAGAAGTGAGGGTTCTATATTCTTCACATGCTCTCAGAACTAACATTTGTGTAGCTTCATGGAAAGTTGTCTGGATATCTTGTTAACAGGATAGGTTCCACGGTATTCATTATTTCAACGAAGGTATCGTCATTGCGAAGCACTCAGTATACTTGTGCAGCATTTGTGTAATCAATGTGGGCGGCAATTGGGCAATTTTCATGTCGCACAACCATATAAATATTAGCACATATTCAAATGAACATCGAAAGCCACATTCCGACATGTTGTGGGCTACCACGCTCGTTTGCCTGGTACGTTGAAATTTGATTACTTGTGAATTGTCATCGAACAAAGCTCATAAAGTTATTGAATTAGTGCTATTGTTGGCCAACTTGTTTGCCAAATACTGTATTTTAAGGTGCTCGTGAGTCTCTATGTAAAAGCAGGTACGTAGCATACACATCAGAGGATACTTGCTTACGAGGGTCGGAAGTTCATGTCCTGTTCCACAGCACGAGGCGTTGCCTTTTCGAAAAAATTACGCATAACATAAATCCATTGCAATTTTGCTTCACATGATACCATTCAGATTATGGCTGCTCAGAAGACCTTACTCAGACTGACAAAACAAGGAAGATATTCCTCGATTTCCATAACGATGTTCGTCGGAACATATCTACCGGAATTCAGCCGAATAGACCGGTTTATAGCCGGTTCCTCGGACCAGCTAAGAACATGTACAAACTGGTAGGTCATTGCCTTCAGGGAAAACTCACTTGTCGTGTTAACGAAGGCAGCCTTAGAATGAAGATTTGAAAATTTCAACTTTATAGAGCTTCACTTCTCTTGCAGTCCAGTCAAGCGGACCTTCCAAAACCAGAATTGCAGACACTGGGTACACACATAAGCTTCTAGTCCCAATTTTATGCGCTCAGAGGCTCTTGAGTGAAAATCCGAAAAAAAGTCTCCTAAAGAAATTGCGATGCAATTCACAAAGTTGTGAAGCAACAACCGTTCCTTAGCTGATCTACTTCCCCCTCCTGTAAGCCTCACAGAGCCTTTGTAGCATTGATACCTACTGCAAGTCTTTGCCACCCTGGTGTTACCAAAGCCAGTAACTTCGTTCAGCTTTTTCAAGGAAACGCAGCGACCTGCTTATGAAAGTGGAGAGGGATGACAGAAACTAGTGCAACTAAATTTTAGAAATGGGACTGTGACCTGGAGAAAAAAGCACAGTACCAGGTCTCCTCATGCACTTTCAAAGTTCCACCCGGAATGTGCCGTTTGTCAATGTCTCAAAACAGTATAAGGTGATCATGGAGATTCGGTTATGTTCTGTTTCAAATTTAGTAATGAGTTATATGTTTAGCGTTAATTACGTAAACGGTAAGGAAGAAGAGGCCTTAAGATTCGCTCAGAAAAATTGGATGAACCCCGTGACCACGTATGGAGTACCACCCAATCGCAAGTTCTTCTACAGACTCGAAACTTTTGCCAACGTAGGAATTTCAATCATGCATAAAATAAAACTAAATAACAACTTCTGTTTTTAGATAGCGAATCACAAAAATATGAAGCTCGGATGTGCATATAAGGTCTGCGGCTCCGAGATGCTGGTAGCCTGCATTTATGGCACTAAGTAAGTAATTTCTGAAGATTGCACAAATGAAGGCAGGCTCATGAGAACTGAATATAGTATTCCTCATTTCGCTGCTCTGCAGTGATCATATGGACTGCAGTTTTCACACAGAGTTGGGCCGTACATTTGCCTGAACGTATTTCCGCTTTCTCAAGTTTTCCTCTCATTGTACAGTATAGAATTCCCTATTGTCTCAAGCGATAACATTTTTCTCTCGAATGGAACAATTTCACTAAACCAAGCGGCCAATTCACATTTGGCGGTGAGGCAGATGACGTAATGAGCGTGTGGGTACAATAATCATGCAACTCACTAATTCCTTTTAAACGCTGCATAGTTGACAGCATCTGTGGATTTGGGGAGAACGCGCTCAATCATGAACAGTATAACACTAGACGCGCGAAACAGTCCGTTCCCTCTCCTATAACATCGACTTCCCAACTTGAACGTGTATCATATTAAAATAAATATCGTGTATCACATAAATATAGAAACACACTAGATCAGAACTAGTTGCGCTAAAAAAAACACTACCTACTGTAGATGCCCAGTGGGTCGGCTGAAACCGTGATGGCAGGAGTGAAGAAAAATAATGCAAAATAGTGTTTTCAATTTCAGAAGAATACCACCGATGCAAGAGTTGTGGGAAAATGGAAGAACCTGTGAGTGCGACGCTCATCCCGACTCATTTTGCTCGAACGGTATTTGCGAAACTAACATGGTGATGAAACCTGAAACCAAAACATCTACTAAGAAGCCCAGGCCACCAGTGGAGGGACCAGGTTTGAGGGATTTTCAAGTTACTTCTGTTCTAGGAAATTAATGATGCTGATTCCAGATTCATGCAAAGCCAATACCGGAATGACAGATGACCTCAGAGAGATTTTCCTCAAAAAACATAACTACTACAGGTTAGCTGTGGTCGTGACGGATGTCAACCATGGTTTTGATTATATTCTTCCAGATCATTCGTTGCGAAAGGATTGGCGAAGGACAAGTTCGGTGGATACGCTCCCAAAGCAGCAAGAATGCTTAAGATGGTGCGGTCACATACGCATAGGCGACAGTGCTTCTTGCGCAACGTAAGTCATGTGACGATGGGTCATTCAGGTGTATGATTGCGAAATCGAAGCAAACCGCAAACTCGCAGCGCCTATCATGCGAGAATGCACGATGTCGGAACCCATTCGCCATTCAAAGCCGACAGATTCGGCTGTCTTGGTGAGAATGTATGGGCGAGCCTTCAACCGGAAATGAATAGGTCACTTGCAGCGGAAATGGTAAGAGCAATTGTCAACGTTAGCATTTTTCAGTGCAAAAAACAACCGTGCTCTAGGCCTGCGATAAGTTCTTCGCTGAATTAAAAGACCATGGTGTTGGACAAGACAACATACTCACTAACGAACTGTTTATCGACAGCAAAAGAGCAGATTGGTACATCTTACGACTAGGTGAGGCGCCGCTAGAATAAGTTAAGTCCCGAATCACTCGTCCTCAATATTTGCGAATTTTCAGATGGTTTGGCAGAGTAGTTACAAGCTCGGATGTGTGATAGAATACTGCAATGACCCCCCAGTGCCAATGACATTTGTGGTTTGTCAGTACCGCCCTGGGTAAGTACCTTTCCATGGCGAGCAGTGATACCACGTCCCAACGCGAAGCTCCTATTATGATTAACTTGCAGAGGAAACTTCATCGACCAGTTGATTTACGAGAAAGGAGAACCGTGCCAAACCGATGAGGACTGCAAGTGCACCAACTGCAAATGCAGTAGGCAGAATGAGGCCGCTATCGTCATTCATCGCCATGGATGCAATTTTCAACTAACATGCTGTCAAAATGGTTAAAATTGGGTTGATTATTTTGGGCCAGAATCTCCCATAGCCTTGTCTCAAGTTACAATCATAAGAAAATAGCGTCCCCCCCGATGTAAACATTTGTACGACCTGATCATCCTGATACCCTTTCACTAAGATCTAAGGAAACCCACAAAACTTACTGTTTTGGTACCCGCATTCCATGCCATTGTAAGCATGTGCTCGTCGATGAACAAGATATGAGTTTGTAACTGAGATTGCTTCCGAAATCTCGCCCTCACATAAGCTGGTGAAACACTGGGCGCCCCGTGTGAACAAAGCGAGTTTTAAAAACAGTTTTTATACAAGTCCCCAACACGAGAGAAACTGTTAGAAAACTTACTGGTTCACTTAACATACAAGCAAACCCGCGGCTTAAGTTGTAGGGGCCGCGGAAAGCTAGTGCCAGACACCATTCCTTCAATGAACCTCGCCTAGAAGTTAATGAGCCGCCTATCATAAAATTACCACGGGAATTTCATCGAGAAGCAAAGCGAGAAGGAGATCCGTGCCAAACCGCGAAGACACACAACACGCACGAACTGCAAACCATGTGTCATTGCATGATACTTTTAAATGAAATTCTTTGGAGAAGAACGCACGTTGATCTTTACGTTCTCAATATGAGCTTCCACCAAAATCAGTCGTGTACAACTTTTTGGTCTGTCTGCTGCACATGAGTTGTTGTTTTGATTTACCAGAATTGATGTCTCATTCCAAACATTTTTCAAGCTCCAGTCCGATGACGATCGGATCAGTGTTCTACGCGGTTTACTCACTAGCTGTGCTGCGATGGTTGAAACCATGTGGGTTCATAGAAGAAGGAACTTTGTGTGGAACTTGTGAGCGTTGCTGGTACCTTTTCGTCTACTGTAATACTCAGCCCCCCCCCAAGAATTGGTTCTTTCTTACTGGAGACTGAAACGCTAGTGGTGATCACTGATGTTGCTCCTCGTTGGCATCAGACAACTGTGGTGGCGGTTTCTCTGGTCCATGAATGGAAGAGATTGCCAATCGCCTATTGGTCAGGGCACTTTGATTCACTTTTCTTTTCGATCGCGCTTCGTGACCGCTTCATTCAAAAAAAACAGACAGGATGTGCGATGTTTGTCAGTCAGTTTAATCGCCTCACGGATTGGAAAACAACTCATGCCACGTGTCTCGATTAGGTATCAGGAGCCAGCCTTCCTTAATTAAGAAATAGGGCCTCCCAACCACAGGAGTCGCGACACTACCTTGACTCAAAATTGCGGGCAAAGGCGCCATAACCGTGCCATGCCGTGCCATATGTCCGTTGCCGTTCCCATTAAGCGCTTTAAAATGTCCAATAAATCATGGAATCTATTGCGCATTCTGTGTGAACAACTTCTCCTTGGTGGCTGGTTAGCTTGCATAACTGGTATTTATGCGCGGCGCATATACCATCACTCTCTCTTGATATTGAACTCGGGTGCATGGCGCATTCTGGGATGAAGTTTTTTCAGAACTCTGGAGTCCTTATGTATAGCTTGATGAGCTAAGTGATGTTTTAGGCTTCTATGGTTCTCTTCCCCAAACCTGCTTATAACAAACACGAAAAGCCGCTACTTCGCTGCTTTTGTTTGAATTTTTGGGGCACGTACTGTATATGCGTACTATGTGGTCGCTTCAAAATGAAGCAGGAACGAGTTTCGAAGAACAAAATATGAATGCATCATATAAATGTTGTGCGAATGTTGGAGATGAATGAAAAATCGTGGGTGGCATTGAGTTCAAGGCGAATGCGCTCATCTCTAAATTGAAGGGCACATTTCGACGTTATCTTAAATGCAAATGAGTCTTACTATCCAGAGCGAATATCTCAAGAAAAGTATGCGTCTTTTACCGATTCTTAAAATTATGTGGCACTCTATGCTGAGCGACTACATCAGGTGTGGTTAACATTGACGAGGACAAAAGGAAGAGAGCTTAAGACAATTTATTATTGAATTATAATGGTGGTTTTCCTTTATTATTCACTAATTAAATTGTTTATTTATTATTTATTTATTACTACTGGACCTTTACAAAAGAATATTGAGCCGTTGTAGGCATAGGAAAACTTCGAACCACATTCTGCCTCACAAATCTTGTGATCATAAAAGCTCTCAAGATATGCATACTGAAGCCGGGGCGCTCTCTATTTTTAATTAATGATGCGACGGGAATGTGAAACTTTCATAGCGGTTATATAAACACCGATCGAGCACACTCATCATCAGTCTCATTCTACATGGTGCTGCCGTGGCAGCCGGATGAGCGGGGGGGAAGAGGGGTAGAGGGAAGGGGCAAGAAAGGGGAGGCTGGAAGGGAGGGGGGAGAGAGAAGGAGGGAGAGAACATGGCGCTGCATGCGCCGGAGAGAAGGGGTATAAGGAGGTATAACACATTCAATAGTGAGGTGGTTAATGGAGTACGTCATGCTGCTATTCCGTGGTTCCTCCCTACCCTGTGATGCGCGCGATAGCGGGCGGAGCAAACCTGGTAGAAGGAGAGTGTGCTATCTTGCAGCAATAAGGATTTAGATGTCGAATTACACAAACACTGCACACCAAAAGTTTATTGCAAAATAGATCCCAAACGCTCAAAAAGATCTCCTAAATGGGTTTGAAAAAACTCCTTGAGAAGCTTATGCTATACCTTGAAGCATAGCACCTTTGCCGGACCTGAAATACCTATTATGAATTGCGATACTGTATTTTCCTAACCCGCATTGTGTTGCGTGAGTCAATCGCAAAGCTACCCTTAGGAACGGCGCCGAAAGGGAAGAGTTCAGGGATTAGGATGGGCGGAAATTCATCAAATTTCTCCCTCTTGAGGAGCCTACCGTAAGGGTAGTTTTATAATAGAAGTAAGCGAAGATGCTACGCACCGATATATAGTAGAAGCTCCCTCGAGGATTCCTACTGAACGTGATTTTTAAGTGTTTGTAGTCTTCTAGAAGTATCTCGAATAAAATTGCTGCTCATGTCGCTAGGAGGGGTATTCAAGTGAAGCGAGCCACATGCAGACCCCTCGTCTTTCTGAGACTTAATCCCATGCAGCACATGGGATTAAGTCTCAGAAAGACGAGGGGTTTTGGAGGAAGATGTAAGCAGTTTCTGTTAACCCCCGCGTTTCTCTCTTCTTTTAGGCTTACGATTAGCCCTACTACCGCCTACCATCGACCCTCTTTTGAATGACTTTCCAATCCCCACAAGGCCATGAGCGCCAGGGTGTTGTGCCGCAACATTATACTGGCGGCCAAAAATCCATTTACACACGGTATTTTGAGGTTTAATCTGGTATTCAATGGATCGTCTCCAGAACCAATCATCTCTGCAAAGAGTTTTCATTCAAGATAAGGCTCCTGAACGTGCACAAGTGGTTCGCAAGCGCACGCATACTTCTGGGAAAGTGCAAAGAATCCTGCACAGCTAGAACCCAAGCCCTTCGCCTTGTCGACACGATACCGGCATGATATTCACTAGGTAAACGGTCCACGAATCATATTCCTGCTGAACTTAGGTCTGCTTCGTATACATTAGGCTCTGTACCTTGATCAGAAATCGTTCAGCAGATATGGAATGCAGACTCAAGGTCCACGATCAAATCTTTCTGTCACACTTCAAATGGCCTTTTGATAGGTTTCATTTCGTTACAGTAGCTCGGACACGTATACCAGCAGCATACTCCCCCTCATTATACCTACATGACTTAATGTTGTAATGGAAACCCTGAAAATCTTCAACCATATAGCAAGTTTGCACGTTTCTTTTTGTTGAATGCAAACCTCGGGATTAAACTGATGCTATTAGCGCTTCGTGGTGATAGCTTAGCTGCGGAACGACCTGAAAGTGGAGAAGGAAAGCAAGAGAATCTTTGGAACGCTGAAATTAAGGCCTTAACCTTCAGTAAGGATGTGGTACGATGGCGAGACAGGGCGGTCAAAGAAGACAAAATACGCGAGAGAGCACGTCGTTCGAGAGAGCACGCTGATCTCACCATCGCGGTGGGTGGGAAGCGTTGCAACGGGGGTCGATGGTTGCAGGCCCGTAAGGATTAGCGCCCTAACCGCGCAATTTTGCGACGAAGCTGGAGTGATCTAGGTAGGTACGGACCTTACAATTTCCCTCGCGGTATCCCTCCTACTAGTCGGGCTAATCCCAGTATTTGCCTTTAAGCGTAACGATCAGTTGCTATAGCAAATTCTCTTGGAACAACAGATCGAAAAGAATGCACAAAATGGTGTATGAGTGCGTTTGATGAGGATTTGTATTGACCAACATACAGGAGGTCTTAGCAGGCTCATTGCTGAGATTAATACAAGAATACGGGAGGCTTTGATGAACCACGTTCTGAAAAAGTGAATGGGCCTTTCACTGACAAATAATCTTGATTTTCTTGAAACGAAAACTGACTTGACACTGTGTTTTGTCGAGCTTCACGGAAGTGTTCTTCTTTGTAGATTTTGTAAGATCACGTGGCATAGCTAAGGGTGCTCTCCAGCCCGCTTCATTAGCGTGTACTTGTTAAAATGAGCACTGTCTCTGCGCGCATACATTTTTGTTTTTAATCATTCATTTTTAACGGGTGGAACGGTGAGAGCAACCTGATCGCTCTATCATTAAATGTTACGAATTATCAGTTTTGATGATAATTTACTTCCCGTCACCAATG